TAAACGGATGACAATTATTGTTGTGTGCCAGAAACACTCTCCAAATACTGAATTTTTTCAGTGTCGGTGAAGAGGGTAAGATCAAATACCTAAAAGCACTGAAATTAGGGCGAGATTGTACTTAAACAGTTGTATTTAGAGGGTGTCAAAAGAGAGTAAAAGGTACGCAGGGGTACAACGACGTGTGCTCACTTGAAACTATAGCTTATTTACAGAAAAGGCCAGGTTTTATTCTATACCGAACACGGAAAGGCATGAGTGAAACTTTAATCGAAAAAAAAGAGGAGGGCATATTTAGTGTTTTTTTAAACTCGTACGTCTTAGCTGTCCTGCTGTTTGTTTGTTTTTAGATTGTAGTTTCACGCTTGTGTTTTGGCGCTCGGTGTAGAATAAAGCCAGGCCTTTTCTATGAATAAACTGAAGTTTGAAGTGGGCGCTCTTCTGTGTAACTCTGTCTATTGTTTCTTGTTGTTTACGCACTCTAATTACCACTTTGAGTGAATACTTGCTAAGTGCCTTATGATGATGTCCTGATCGCATGAGTTCAACGAACAAATTGGCCGTCTTGAAGACTCCCCTCAGCCAGCCCCCTGCTGATACGATAAAAGTCGCAGTCCTACCGTATATTTATGAATTATCACACCGACTAAAGAAAATAGGACAGCATGCGAACGTAAAGTAGTGTTTTCTGCTTCCACAAAAGTGCAGAGTCTGTGCAGAATAATAGACCTGCCTCATCAAACAAGAGTAAATGCAAAACGAAGCATAAAAATAGGTTTGTAGAGTGCAATGACGCCGTTGTGTTCAAGCTTCCGTTGACATGTGGCAAGAATCATTTTGCTCAAATTGGGCGTCGCGTAAATCAACATTTAAAAGAACACTGCTAAAACGTGACAGAAAAAAAGGGGTTACTTCCTCGATGGCCACTGCTTCAATGATATCTTGGTTTTAACGTCCCAAAAACACCGTATGGTTATGAGAGACGCTGTAGTGGAGGACTCCGGAAATTTAGACCTCCTGGGGTTCTTTAACGTGCACTCAGATCTGAGCACATGGGCCGAAAGTAGCCCCGCCGCGGTGGTCTAGTGGCTAAGGTACTCGGCTGCTGACCCGCAGGTCGCGGGTTTGAATCCTGGCTTTGGCGGCTGCGTTTACGATGCAGGCGAAAATGTTGTAGCCCCGTGTGCTCAGATTTGGGTGCACGTTAAAAAACCCCAGGTGGTCAAAATTTCTGGAGCCCTCCCCTACAGCGTCTCTCATAATCATATGGTGGTTTTGGGACGTTAAAACGCACATATGAATCAATCATGGGCCGACAGCATTTTCTCCTCCATCGAAAACGCAGCCCCCGCAGCCGGTATTCGATGCCGCGACCGGCGGGTCAGCAGTCGAGTACCTGAGCCACTAGACCGCCGCGGAGGGGCTCGATGCCCACTACAGGCGTTATAGTAATGCAAGTGACAGTGCAAGTGACGTTGTGTTAAACATGTGCACGCTGGCTTTTAATGAGTGTTCAATTGTCGGCACGAGCAGAGGTCAGCCGACCCGAAAAATATTCGCGGCTGAAATGATTGATAGGCTGGCAGAGTATGACCCTCGCCCCAACAAGCCGCTGCTTCCGTATCTGTAAGCACACTGTTTCACTCTAAGAAGACATGGAGTATTCGGGGAGTAGTTATGCTGCAGAACAGTAATCGTAATCTGACTTGCTTGCGTTTCCTTTCTTATAAACCTAGCATTGGCCACTTCACACTCGGGAATGCTATGTTAACCGTCATTTGTCCTTTCATGTAAGGAGTTAGCCTATCTACGGAAAAATATCTGAACTTGGAGTGCGTGCGGTCATGATGGCTAAAAAGCGATGTTGCCTATACATATGGTTGACTTTTTCTGGAATAAACATTGTTGCAAGTAGCGCCTGCCCCCATGTGCTTCTGTCCATGTCTTTTTCGTGTGCTAGAAAACTACGTAATATGCTACCATCTATATTCTGTGGTGCAGTACAAATGCAAGCAAAGAACAGTCTCTGACGTCATGCAGCAGTGCTATTTTGTGCAACTGGGGTTGCGGTGGCAGGCCTTCAGATGCTTCCCGAAGCTTTCAAGTGTCAGCAACTGCATACCTGCAAATTTTTTGTTACAATATTGGTGCGTGTACATAAAAGATAATATGTGAAGTCTGAATAGAGGAGCCGATATTTCTTTTTTTTTATTTTCCCGGCAACTCATTCGTCTAACAGAGAGTCAGTCGTTGGAATTATGCGCAGCAATTCGTACTAATGCGGCACCGTGAGAACAGCGAACGTGTAAGCGACTACTTTGCATGTAGACCTCGGCGGTCAATTACACTGTATGAAATTGTTTTGAAATTTGTTAAGCCATAACCTAGAAAACGATTGGCTTGCTCTAACTCTAGATGTCACGCTAAAATCACCACGATCAGTGAGGTTTTCTTTTCGAATCGTGACACCCAGATTGCTCATACATCTGCACCGTGCGCCATATTAAGCAAAAACCTGTATCTTAATTAGTACAATGGCAGCAAATGAATAAATTACATGTGTTATTTTTCAATATGTCTTATATTCAAAGTGAAGCATACAATTTCACTTCATATAATGTAAATCCTTGTGATATGAATGTAGGTAAATGAATACAGAAACAAAAAATGCCTTCTAAAGGAGAAGCCGTTATTTCGCGGCGTACAGTGTGTGAAACATATAGCCTTGTCGTAAATGATGCCTCATTACAATATATTTCGGTTGTCCAGAAGAGTAGAAAGACGAGCTATATGCGCGGCCGTGAAGGAACGAAGAAGTAGCGCTCAGCGCTACACATATGTGGCTAACTACTTTTTCGCATGTTTTTTTCTGCGCGATTTGTTGCTCACTGCGCAGAAAAACAGGCGAAAAATATATTAGGCCTGGTGGAAAATAAACGAAAAACAATGTTTGAACTGGGTGCAAAAAAATTCACCCGATTGGAGTATTTGAGTGAATCAACCGTTCGTCCGGCAAGGTGCAACTGTGAGGACTAATGGTTGCCCGGTAAGATGTAAATGTGGGGATTAACAGTTGCCCTATAAGATGCAAATGTGAGGACTAAATGTTAGTTCTTTGAGGTAGATTGTGGGACGGACGGTTACTCACTAAGGTGTAAATGTGAGACTAAATGTTAGTTCCTTGAGCTCATCTGTGGGCACTAAGACCCGGTGCTGTTAGTCCTGAAAGGAATAATGGTTGTGGCAGCCCCATTAGTCCCCAAAAGGACGAACCACAGAACCTTTTAACACCTTTTTGCCTTAGAGTGTACCTTTTTTTGCTCATTTAAGAAAATATATTCAGATAAATGTTATTTTTGAGCTACATAAAATAGAGAGAATAGGGGTGAAAGAAACGCAGGGAGGTTAACCATGGCTGAGCCTGCTAGGCCACCTTGCACTGGGGAGGGGTTAAGGGGAATAAAAGTTAGAGAGAGAGAGAAGGAGAGAAATGTCACCTATGCCGTCGACGTAACGGCAGTTATGTGCTTAACATCACAGACAGTGAGTTACACACGTGTCTTAATCAAATGAGCACATTCGTTGCATTCACTTGTATGCGAGGTCCCATGCACCCAAAATCTTGTCGATGCTGAAGCCATGATAGTGCCGCCTGCGTCCTCAAGCAGCAGACTTCTGAAGCCTTGCGAGAACTGGAGTGATGGTGTCAAGCAGTTGCAACACACTTCGGGCTGTCGGTGTCTGCATCTTGCTCAGCAGCACGCGCGTTGCACTGAACTACATAAAGGTTGTTTTTTTTTGAGCTACATAAATATTTTGTAAAAAGACTGTACAAAGGCCTACAGTATTGTTGAATAAGAGATTCCTTTGAAACTTACGCAGGTTTTTTATATCTGAAGAACTAAAGAAAGATATTTTTTTTACATCTAAAAGGAACTTGAAAACATGCTTTCCGTTTTGGGGTTAGGGGCTGGTAATTGAAGTGACTGGAAGTTTTTTGGGGTACAACGCTTGTGACTTTCAAACCATCTATACCAATATTTTAGCGCACACCATCCAGTCATATCCATCCACAGGCGCAGCGCTGCCGAACCAGAGTGATCCCCACTTTCAATGGTGATGACTGTAGGAGGAGGGGACTGAACATTTGCATTGCTTGCCGCTGCTCGCCTTTCATTTGATGCCCTATATGATACACACTTCGTCGAGATTGTGACGCGTTATGGGTCGCTTCATGTGGAAACTTATCCCGTATCCCGGTGACTGTACTTCACCAATTTCAGTGTTGTTATGTAACAGGATGCTGTTTAGGGTTACCATCAACGTATACGGTGTTCATGCGACGTGCATATTCTGCCAATCATTGTGTTATGTGAATAAACAGGGTTTGCTTTTTATGTCATTGCGTAAATTAACCTCGTCAACTTGTGATGTTTATGTGCTTATTTTTTTTCTTCACGATTGAGTGACTTCCTCGAAATCTTCACCTCTCGCCCAGATGAGATTCTTTTCACGAAAACCGTTGAGTTGCTGTGAGTTTCTCGAATGCTTTCAACCATGTGAAAAACAGTAGCCAGCAATAAAAGCGCCCAAATTTCATAACAAACATGTAACAGAGAAAGATAACGCTTAGCTTAGACGCAAGTCAATTGGCAGTATATTCAACGTCGGCAAGATTGCTAATGCCCAGCTTGTAATTCCTTTGCGCGCCTACTATCTGCGTGCATTACCATGAAAATGTCGCTTAATTATGGGATCATGGCGAAAATTCTGAACCCTTGATAGTCAACATTCCTGTACGGGGATCCATTACTACTGTATCACTGTGAGTCTACCAAATGATATGGCTTGATAGAGTAGGAATAATATAGAGGCATGCAGTCGTTTCAAAAGAACATTTCTCAAACAATTCACATAATAATATTGCCGGCGATGTAGTAGCATGCTCCCTTTATCAAAACATATTTCTTTGTGAGCGAAGCTATCAATACTCTATGCAATAAAAAGAGTGAATCACTTTTATTGTTTCGCTGACAATGAAAATGAAGAATGGAAGTGTCAAAGCATGGTCTCATGCTACGGGAGTGATAGTGTCGTGAATACTTGTCAATACTACTTCGTAACCTTGTGCGGGACAAAATCACTCCAGAGATGTGTCGGTTGGCAGTTGCGCGGGAGTGGTTCAGAGTAGTAGGGCTCGCGAACGACAAAGTCAGTGCATAATTTATTGGCATCCGGGACTCCTGAAACGAAGCGGGAAAATTCACAGTCACAAACGAGCATCACCAATGCGACACTGAACCCTGTCATAGCCAGAACTGAATCGTTCTAATGCCGCTGTTGTTTACCTTGTTGAAACAAGCAAAGTGACTACTATTCTTTTTATGAGCTGTGAATGCAATTAACGTTGGGCATTTTGAAGCTTATGATAACGTGCTAATTTATAATTCCACAATTGGGCTCAGGTCAACAGTATTTAGAAAACCAATCAAAATTTGTTTTGCAACCAATGCAGTATACCTCATTATTTAAAAGCAATACAGACTACATAAATCTCTGATATAAAGTTAACTGCTTAATTCTTGCCCAGCACGCATGCACTTACACGAACTATTTTCTCTGTTTGATTTCAATTAAGAATATTTTTTTACTTTTCTACTAATAAAAAGAATAATTGGTGATCGATTAAGTGTGTGTTGATACAAAAAATCATCGCAATGGTTTCGCTTAAAAAGTTGGTTAAGCTAAAGTGCCTCGACGCGTTACAGCAACGTATGAAATGATAAACGTCTTTAGCACATCATAAATGCAAGTCTTGTGAACGACACGGAAGCACAACAACTCAGGGGCATGTCCAAATAAGATCGAACACGATATCTGCGTCAGCATTACCTATTTTGATTGAATTTACTGCGGGTCTAGACATTAAACCTGAGCTATGGTTTTGAAGATAAGGCATAACAACCCAGGGGCATGTCCAATCCTATGTGTATCAATGCTTTCTTTCTTTTCTTTTTGTGGAGTGTTATTATGTCCCATGTTATCTCGATGTATCCACTCCTGCATGGGCCCGATCAGGGCCTGCAGTATGTACAAATAGAAAAAAAGTTAGCTTTCTGAAAAAAAAACCGTTCGCCTGAAAAAAATCGTATAATTTGGTGATGAAAATATTTTCGTCTCTTTCGCGCATTCTGAGATTTGAGCGCGCCCCACTAAATATGGTGTGCATCTCAAGCCCAGTATTTATTGACATTGATGAGCGAGTGATATGTAGTCAATTTTTTCCTTAAATGTTAAAAAAATTACACAAAAAAACTCACATTCATGATAAACTTACAAAAAGATCTAAGTCAAGGATTTATTGTTGCAAACTCCTTAAATGGTGGGTGATTAAACTCAGTACATAATACTGTTGATAATTCCGCTTCTTTGAAATACCTTTAGCTGTTTGATCGCGCTTTCTTTTGCCTCATGATTTCGATGAAAATGTAAGTATAGTTTACCGAAAATCCCAAAGCGTGAAAAATTTTTGTCCAAAAGGTACTTTTTATTTCGCTGAAGTAAAAGACCTCCTCTTCTATTGTGCCCCGTCGCGGTGGTCTAGTGGCTAAAGTACTCGGCTGCTGACCCGCAGGTCGCGGGTTCAAATCCCGGCTGCGGCGGCTGCATTTCCGATGGAGGCGGAAATGTTGTAGGCCCGTGTGCTCAGATTTGGGTGCACGTTAAAGAACCCCAGGTGGTCGAAATTTTCGAGGCCCTTCACTACGGCGTCTCTCATATTCATATGGTGGTTTCGGGCGTTAAACCCCACAAATAAATCAATCTCTTCTATTGTGCTAAAAGAAGGTTGAAATATTGTGGTTTCCAACAAGTTGTAACACATCACATGTGACCAAGCCAGCCTCGGGACCACGTCATTCATAACATGCTGAAGATCCGATTCCAGTTGTTCGAAATATTTGCATACTATATAAACCCGAACCTGCTGCTTCACAAGAACATACCCGCATCCTCTGTATAGGAAGTGTTATCACGCAAGAAGCAAGTGCTTTCAGTAGTAGCGCACGCTAAAGCCGAGCCCTGATAATGCAAGGTGCTCGAGAAAACGTTTCAAGCAGGCACGGAGGTTGATTCATAAATATCTTTGAGTTCTCCGAAGTATCGCAACATTTTTGTATATTATACTTGGTGCAATGCTTGCCATCGTGTTCTATAGACCGTTTTCATAATTCGCAGGTGCGCTTCTTTGCACTGCATACTTGTCCAAGAAATGACGCCACCTTCCATGCTTCAAGTGTACACCTGGTCTTGGTTGAACGTGCTGGGGCTTGTATGTTTTCAGTGTTTATATGAAGAGAACCGATACTACATTTTTGACGTCATTGCGTGAGCGAATGGCGCTTGAACAGGCCGTCAGCATGAACTGACTATCCGCTGTTAGTTGTTCAAAAGGCATAAAAGGACAGCTAATTTTACAATTCTTAAGAAGGTCTATTTCATGCCACTGCCTCTTTGAATGAGCCAACTCATCATTGGCCTATAAAGTGATATAACATCAGCGCGGAGGAGCCGCGCAACAATGATCAAAGTCTTCCTGGTAAATTAAGAAGAAAAAAAAACGGCAACTGTGTTATTCATTTTATATCAATATTACTGACCAAGTAGCTGAATAGTGCGGTTGAATTCACTCCTGAGGATATCCAGGACCTTGTCAGCCCCTTTTTTTCCCTATAAAAGAGAGAAGAAGACGTAGATTTACTCGGACGAACGCTAGCAGCTTTATAACTTATACTTATGAATAAAGATTGTAGTGAAGTGGGTTCCTGACCTCAGGAATAAGGCTTAAAGAATACGGAACAAATTGCGGTTTTAATCCAGGACCTCACGGAGCTAGTTAGTTGTGAATACTTAAGATACGGTCCTGTGTGTTTTCTTCCAACTGCCATTTTTTTTAGCGCAGTGTACTCAGATTGTGCTCGGCATGTTTTGTTACTGGACGTGACAGAGACAATGCTGTCAAAATGATGTAGTAATCGGTATATTCACGACCCCAGCGGGATGGCTAGAGTTGATGAATTAGACAGCAGAATAACGCTGTAATGGTGACAGTGGCAAGATAACAACGCTAAGACAACGGTGTGATGTAAACGGAATGACATTACTACCACTGCGGTATGAAAATGGCTGCCATACAGCGCTTGCTACGCCAGAAGAACTAGTTAGCCCCTGTACAACCACAAACAGCGGCGCTCTTCTAAGAGCTTCAAACTCCCCATCAGGCAACGTATTTATAATACGGCCTAGAGTGTTCAATATTTGTACTGAATGCTAAATGGCGCCCAGGAAGTATGTCTCAGACTCACCTAACAATTGACTTCTCACGTGAACTGATGAGGCAGTGTGAAAAATCACTTCATCCCAGGCCTTTGGCAGTATCAGCCATTGGCTGATTTGAGCATCACGTTCTTCGTCGTTATCGAAGTTTCCGCGGGAAGCGGTGAGTTCAAAGAAAAAAAAATGGCTTCGTATCTGCATGTTCAACTGCAAATGTCGTCCAAAGACGACAGTCTTGCGTGTGGAGAGAGTGAACAAGAGTTTTATTTGATGTTCTGCGCGACAAGATTGGTGAATTGTATTCTGGAAGCGCTGCGTTAGAGATTGTGGATCCGTGCGGAAGGCGAACGAGTGCATCGAGGCACGTTAGACACAAACGCTATCTGGCAGTTATCTTCGAAAACGAAGGAAGGCGTGCGCGCCCACGGAGAAAAATGCGCGCCGGTCTCGGAGGTGATACGGTGTAGAACGCCAATCGACCGGCAGGTGCCACCACCATGTCATCTTAGCAAAGCGTTGGCAACACTTGCCTTTTTGAGCATTGCGTTGCACTGTCAGCGCAGCGAGATAAACGCTGCGGTCCTTAGAAGTAGTTATGTGTCTTCTTTAGTATGAGGACAGACATACAAAAGATTGACGAGTTGTTATGGTGCCTCAGATATGCGCAATAATTGCTTTTTAGTTGACAATAGCACAAATATGAACGCTTAAGCTTGAGCATTATTGTTGGGCGCTGCGGATGGGGTTGGCCTTGTGGGGTATCACTTCTGGCCGTTTGGGGTGTAATTACGGCGGACAAACACACAAATGTACAGACAGAAATACAGACACAAAGACCAAAAATTTTGCGTCGAAGTACCCCCAAATAGACTATCGTCTTTAAACAGAAGACAAAAAGTGCTCAAGGTTTCGAGGCGTGCATGGCGTATTTTTTTCTCCTTGTGCTATCCCTCCCTGCTTAGCTTTCAATGCTTCATCGGGACTAGAGAAGAGAGAGTTCAATTGCAGCGTGCGACAAATCTTTGGAACTCCGCTCGTACTAGACGAAATCTCATCATTATTTGACGCGTCGAATTCGTGAGGCGATCAGCTCCTTTAGTGAATGCACTTTATGGCTACTTGAATAAGTAGTGTACGGCCGCTTCAATTGCTCGACACTTGATGACTGCGACTTGCGCGTTTCAAGACGACGTGCTGCTCAACTTAGCCGGGCCGCTAAAATTCGTAAACACAACTGACTTGGCTTCGGGTCCAGATATTTTTTTCCTCGTACATCCACCAGTTTGATGCGCCACTGATAATACCTCCTCATTTCTCTTTTTCTTTTCTTGTCTTTCATCCTGCCGGCCCCAGTAGGTGGTAGTTGTCAGCCTATTCTCTTGCTATTACCTCTGTGGCCTTGTTTGTTTTTGTACCCAAACCAAATAAGAACAAATACAAAATGCGTACTAAACAAAAGTGTGTTGAACTCCTCAACTTTCTGGGTAGCCCAGATGTCTGCATTGAAAGCACGGCGCCACCTACATACGAAAAGTACATGCAGGTGCAATGAAATGAATTAGCGCGTGGCAATGACGAATTTGCTGCGGAAGCATTATTGCTCCTCCGCTTTTTTTTAAAGCCGGGGTGGCTGTTGTCAATCGGCTGCGTTCAGACCAGGAAAATGGCGCTGCTTTTGCCAGCATGTTGTACTAAAAGCTTCCTTGTGAGCCCCTACAGTCATGAAATTATTAAAAGATCGTTCACTTCTGCAGAGTCCGGAAGCAAGCTGCTTTATAAAAATGGTAGCACTTTTTTTTTAATGGTTGACATCTGCGAATTTTTCACCACATATGATGCATAGGCTATCAACCCGCGTAGCTGCAAAACACCATCGCAGCTGCGTGCCTGATCGTCTATGCGTTCTCCAGGCACCGTGACAAAGGCCGAGCATCTATAATAAAGTTGTTGAATAAAGTTATCTTTATGCATGTATATTCCATATTCAAAACTCTTAAATAAGCGCCATAAATAAAAACAAACGAATAAACGGGAGCCAAGGAGAAGGTGAAAGTCACTGCCTACCTCCATGGCTCAACGGGCGCCAGCCCACAAAACAGCTCGAACATTGATGTAAAGTGACCGAATAATTGCACTGGTCCCTGCAAATGCACTGGTATTTATCTATTGTTCTTAAGCTAGCCCGAATGCAAACAGTTATTCTAGTTGAGAGCAGTTTGCATCATACGGTGAACAACCGAGTCATGGCGTATATACGCAGACTCGGGGTCCTGTCGGGCCAAGGAGCCGCGGAGCCGCCCTAGCAACTATGAACTTCCAGCGCTGTAGTTTCGCAAAAGATCTGGTGTAACCTGTCAGAGCTAAAAGTGTAAGACGGAGTGCTGTAATGCCGGACCCATTGGCGAATTTGCATGTCCATCTATGCTGCGATGAAATTCATTTCCAGTGCATGTTTCTTGTGTTTACCACATTTACCCCTCACAAATAGAGCTTGCTCGGAGATTTCACGAACGTAATAAATCATTCTTTCTGATCCACTGAAAAACGACGCCGAGTGCTACAGTGGCGCACGCTACGGTGAAACGTCGCTAACGCGAGTGCTGTATTCTAAAATGTAGTGAAGAATTATGGCACATTCCTAATATCCTTTTGTGCTGTTGCTGAACCCATTTGTCTGGGTCAGCTTATTGCGGTTAAGTGGCTGGAATGAATTGATATCAGTGAAGACACTGCTAACCGACGCGTACTTTCTGCGAAAAAACGCTAAGGTAGCGCCCATTCAAATAAACAAATTTAGGCGTCATTTTTCTATAGGAAGAATGCGGGCAAGCGACCTCGCGTCCTAAGAAACGCAGACCACTGCTTTGAAATTTTCAAGCGGACATGAGTTCGTCACTGGAACGGCTTGGACCGTGCCATTTGACCCAACCACTGTCTCCACTAGTAACGAGAAAAGTTAATGTAAAGCGTTTTATCGCCATATTTCATACATCCAGCTGTATATTGATTTCTGGCGCTACATGTATAGCAATTGTAAAAAAGAACTGCCAGCAAATAAGATTCTCCCTCTAGGTATGCAGATTTTATGAGAACGTGCGTATGTGTGCTTGGGCGTGCGCACTATATTAACACTTTCCTTCTTTTAATGCTTCATTCTGCAAACTGTTTTCGATTTTTGAACGAATTTTTTATTTTTATGCAGGCTCTAAAGTCCTACAATCATTTCGGGCTCCGATTATAACACATAACGACGATAAGGGGATTTGGCAGACACCACGTAGTGGGACTCTGGCTGGTCGAGGACGAAGAAGGCGATCTTGCTGTTCGGCTAATGATGTTCGGTTGATGTTCGGCAATCTTGCTGATGTCGGAACCATGCAGTAATTAGGAAAAGACTTCTAGCTATTTCATTTGCTAAGCTAGGTTTCAATTTAACCACACAAAATGTTCTAAACATCGGTGCCTCAGTTTTGGGAAATTGCCACAAAGATGCATTCGATGTGGTGTGTAATTTTATTCAAGATTTTAAACGTTTTTAACCATATTACTCACTTTAACAGATACTCAAAAAATAGCGGGTCAAGAAGTAATTTCTGAATGTGGATAAATCCGTGACATACCAAATTAATCAGGTTTGACAAAACCAGCCGTCTGGTCGGCTCACAAAATCAAGGTATGGTTATTAGTGTTTATATTCTTGTTAATTTTTTTCTCACTCTTTGCATCTTTGTTTTCTTTTTTAAATACACTGTCTTCATTTTACAACAGTTTTTTTCTCTTTTTTTATAAGCAATAGTGCAGTATCGTCCTATGAGACTATATGTCTCTTTGCCAATCCCCATAGTGGTATGAGCCATCGATTCTAGGCTACAAACAAACAGACAAACAACAAAAACAACACAACAAAAAACAATTGGCTGTTAGGAACCACTGTGTACGTCCATCTGTCTTGTGTTCGCGTTGTACCACGACACATGTCCGTTTTCAATTTTTTCATGTTGATACACGCTATATAGCAAAGCTTGTCTTTTAGAAAAAAAAAACATCTGTGATATCCCGCCCATTGCAAAATTAATAACTATAGAATGCGAGCAACAGATGAGCGTCCCCTGGCGCAAGAAT